CGTCGAGCTTCAATGGCGGTTTTTGAAAAAAAAAAAAACAAAAAAAAAGGACATCACTGGACAGCGGCCGTTGAAGACGGAGACGGCGGCAGTCGTCGGTCGGAGAAGCTGACGGAGGTCGGTCGCCGGTGGGAACGGCTGAGAAGCCTGAGATACAAATTTTTTGCTGAGGGACTTATGTTTGAAAATTTAATAACTTCAAAGACTAATTTGCAAATTTAATAATTTTAGTTAATCTCAATTAAACCCTTGAGGTCAATTTGCAAATTCGACAAAAATTAAATATATTTAAATTTAGTCCATGGGCCAAATCTATAATTTACAGAAATTATACAAAAGCACATTATTTTATATGTATTTTTTTTTTATGCATATATATAACCAAAAAAAAATATATAAATAGGATATAAAAATATTAAAATATTCAATGTTTATATTAATATTAATCTATTTCTATTATTTAATATAATTCGATTAACCAACAAATAAAAAAAAATCTCGCACTACATAATTTACAATATTACCAAACAAGATGAACAATAGTGAAAGTCATATTGCACAGTATTGTCATATCAAATGCACAATAGTTTGAAAATGCACATTAGAAAATACTAAAAAATCAAGAAAAATTATAAATCACAAGTTGTATGTAACATAATTATATTTCATTTAGTATACATGCCAAATCTGTAATTAATGAAAGCTATGAAAAAATATTATTTATTATATTTTTTATACATACATATTGAATAATAAATAAAATATTAAATAAATGTAATATAAAATATTAAAATAATGTAATAACAAAATAAAATAATAGATAAAATATTGAATAAATAAATAATATAGAGTAGTGCACTTTATATATCAACACTTTATATAGCAGCACGTTGCACTTTATAAAACAACACGTTGCACCTTACAACACAACACGTTGCACCTTACCACACAGCACGTTGCACTTTATATCATGCTTTTTAAAAAAATTTACTTACCATAATATAAAATATTAAATAAAAAATATAAATACTAAATATATTTTTACGATATAAAAAATTTGATGAATGAAAAATATAAGGATAATTGAAATACACAATATTGAAGGTTATAAATTTGAAACAAATAAAAATATTCGATCGGTTGATTGCACAATAATGTTAGACGAATTGCACATTATTGCCTGTTCAAATGCACTTTATGGATTTTGATTTTTTTATATTATATTTTCAACTATAAATATTATAAATTATTAAATAAAAATATTAAAATATAAAATGTATTTTATAATATACATAATAATATAAAAATATTTTGTAATAATCAATAAATTATAATAAAAATAATAATTGAAAAGTATCTTAATTATTTAGGTTAATTCAATTTACAATTATACACATAATTTATACATAATTTATACTGGAATGTATAAATTAGACAGTGCACTTTATATAACGGAATATCGCACTTTATAAAACAATACTTTGCACTTTATCACCTCATCTATATAAAGTAACATAAAAATGCTAACGTCCCAAAATTAATACGTTGCACTTTATACAGTAATACGTTGTACCATATAACACAACATGTTGCACCGTATAAAGTCATGTACGATATTGTTAATATCTGATAAGCTGTATATTAACACGGCCAAAGTCGTGCACGATATTATTAGATAAAATGCACATTAATGTCTCACATATTGCACGCTATAGCAATCAAACTAATCGAAATAAAATTTTCGGATCGAAATTTATATGTCGGTTCGATTATCATTTTATATTTTATAATTTTGGTTATTACGGTTCAATATTAATTTTATTTATTTAAATTTACATATCAATATCCTATATTTATTAAATTTTAATAATCTAGTATAAAATATTTAAATTATTGATTAATTTATATTATAACTAGAGTTTTTAAAAAATAGCAAATAACTCACAATAATTAACCTATTTGCAATTAAATACCCACCCAAAACCACTTCATCCCTAATATTTGGATTCCATCCCCAATCGATCACATTCAGTCCCAAACAAAAATCACGGCCGCACCTCCCTTCTCCCTACAAATCACCGCCGCCGGATCGATTGTCCGTTTGCCAGAGGTGCTCGATTCAGCCGGCGGAGCTTGATTGCCGGAGGTGCTCTATTCAGCCGGCGGATCTTGAAAGCCGGAAATTGGACATCTGAATTTGATCGACGACACGCGGAGAGGAGATGGACGGCGCGGACAGCATCGGCGATGAAGATTGACGGGTGTTGGCAGGAGCGGCTAGACGTCGGTGGTGGATAATTGCAGACGGTGGGTGTGCGGCGGCGGGCCTGTTCGCGTTGTGGCTAGGCAGGACCGCTGGTGGTTGTTGGTGTCGATGACGGGACCGGTGGTGTTTCGAGTCGGTGTCGGGGATGGTGGTGGTTGGTGGTGGTCGGAGCGGCTAGATGTCGGGGTTGGAGAATTGCAGACGGTGGCTGTGCGGTGGCGACGTCGCTGTGCGGCGGCGGGTCTGTTCGCGGCTGTGGCAGGGATGGTGGTGGTTGGTGTCGATTCCGAGGCCAGTGGTGTTTCGAGTCGGCGGCGAGGCTATTGGTGGTCGGAGGCTGGACTGGTGTTGGTTGGGGGCTGAGATGGTGGTGGTTAGTGTCGGCGGACTACTGTGCGAAGGTGGTTTGGCTCCGACTGATCTGTTGGTGGCGCCGCCGTGTGTGTGTGTGTGAGTGTGTGTGTGAGATTGCAGATGTGAATCAGGGAAGGAGATATGTGATATGAGAGAAAATAGTTATTTAATTGGTGAGTGGGACCCACATAAATTTATGTGTATTGACTAACTTACCCTAATTATTGGACAAATGCACATATTTGACCGCACTATGATCAAATAATTACCAGAATGCCATTAAAGATTGACTATTTTTAATTAATTTTGACTTCATCATAACCATTGAAGTAGTAGATCCAATGATCCAGGTACATTCTCATTTCTCACATTAAGAGTCATTCTCATATGATCCCTTACCTATATATATATATATATATATATATACACGTATATAATAAATATTTTTAATTGTTGATCCATACATCATACAAATATTGTTTTATATTAAGTGGTGTTTAATTTGATTTTTTTTTTTCACACATTATTGTTGTATATTAGTTAGTGACGAAAAGCATTGAGAGGTTGACACTATCATTGGAAGAAATGAGGAAGCTAGGAGGGGGAAGAAATTGGGAAGAATGGTAATCTATCCAAGCAGAACTTGATGCAGCCTTAATGTCAGAAGAAAAGTTTTGGCAATAGAAGTTAAGAATTATGTGGCTTAGAGAGGGGGACCGCAATACCAAATTCTTCCATGCAATGACTGTACACAGAAGAAGAAAGAATGCCATAACAAGATTGGTTGAGGGCAGAAGAACTTTTGATACTAAGGAGGCCATAGAGGAACATGTGATTGACTTCTATGAAAAGCTGTTCACCTCTGAAGGTTCCAGTGATGAAGAAGAGGCCTTAAGTAACATTCACCCAGTCATTACTCAAGCTATGAATGATGAACTAGTTAAAGCTGTGGATAAGGCTGAGAATAAAGGTGCTTTGTTCCAGATGAATCCTCTCAAGGCTCCTGGTGAAGATGGAATGACTGCCCTCTTTTATCAACATTTCTGGCATGTGCTTGAGGAAGATGTTTGCACTGCTGTGACTTGTTTCTTTGAATCAGGCCAAATCCTCAGGTACTGAAACCAAACCTTGGTTGCTTTAATTCCAAAGTGTCCTGCTCCTACTTCCTTGAGTCAGTACAGGCCAATAAGCTTGTGTGGAGTAGTGTACAACATAATCTCTAAAATCTTGGCTTCTAGATTGAAATGTTATCTTGATGTCTATGTACACCCTGCTCAAGCTGCTTTTATACCTGGAAGACAACTAATGGACAATGTTATAATAGCCCAGGTGACTTTTTATTATCTTAATAGACACATAAATGGACCCCATTGTTTTATGGCTCTGAAGTTAGATATGCTAAAAGCTTATGACAGAGTGAAGTGGAGGTGTATGAAGAAAACAATGGAGAAGATGGGCTTCGCTGCGTTTTTTATTAAGTGGGTTATGGCATGTATAACCTCATCATCTTTCTCTTTTCTGGTTAATGGCAAGGTTGTGGGACATATTATTCCAACTAGGGGGTTGAGGCAGGGTGACCCAATTTCACCCTACCTCTTCCTTTTGGTTTTTGATATCTTTTCATCTCTTATTCAGTTAGCAGGAGAGAAAGGTCATTTCAGAGGATTGAGAATTGCTAAAGAGTGTCCAACCATTACACACTTACTGTTTGCTGATGACTCATTGGTATTCTGCAAGGCTGACCAAGAGCAAGCTCTGAAGCTAATTCAGATTTTGCAGACCTACCATAGCTTCTCTGGCCAAAGGGTCAACATGTCAAGGCTGACCAAGAGCAAGCTCTGAAGCTAATTCAGATTTTGCAGACCTACCATAGCTTCTCTGGCCAAAGGGTCAACATGTCAAAATCAACTGTCTTCTTTAGCAGGAATACACCTCAATCTACCAAGCAGACCCTATGTTCCCTACTGGCAGGTGTTCAAGCCCATAATTCTACCAGGTACCTGGGACTGCCCTTAGGGATTGGGAAATCTAAGAAGGAGGCTTTTGATTTCATTCTACAGGCAGTGAGAAAGAGACTGATAAGATGGCAAAACTCATGCCTATCAACCGCTGGAAAAGAGGTACTGGTCAAAGCTGTTATTAATGCATTGCCAGTGTTTGCTTTGAGTTGTTTTAAGCTGCTTGTGTATATCTGTCAAGAGTTAAACAAGATTACACGTTCTTTCTGTTGGAGTAGAGGCACCAAGCTAGAGAAAGAGATTCACTGGAAACAATGGAAGAAGTTAACTGTGCCAAAATCAAATGGTGGGTTGGGATTCCTTGATTACAAGCTTTTTAATGAAGCATTGATCCTGAAACAGCTTTGGAGACTTACAACTCACCCTGAACTTCTAGTGAGCAGATTGATCAAAGCTAGATATTACCCCTTAACCTCCATCTTTGAAGCCAAAAGGACAAGCTCAGCTTCATGGTTCTGGAACAATTGGGTTGATGTTATTCAGATTTTAGCCAAGGGTCTGTGCAGGGAAGTTGGGAAACAAAGATCAGTGACCACAGCTGGGTTACAACACTTCACCATATGAGCCCAAGACCTCTGGGAGCTGAGCAAACATCTTTACACTGGGTTCATGACTTGATCAATGATGATGAGAAGAGCTGGAACACTCATATTTTTACTGAAGTTTTTTTCAGAAAATGACAGAAGGGCAATTCTAGATGTTGACGCACTGAATCCTGAGCGACATGATAGTTGGAGATGGAGTCTGGACAAGCAAGGAAGATTCTCTGTAGCAGGGTCTTAGAAGTTGTTGATGGAAGCAAAGATTGTGGGGATGGATATGCCTGAGAGCAGTCCTGCAGGTGACAATGATAAGAAGATTAGAGACAGGAGTTGGAGGATGAGAGTGAATGGGAAGGTGAAGCACTTCATTTGGAAGTGCTTCAATGGAATTCTACCTGTCAGCATCAAACTACTAAGTATTAAACTAAGTATTAAACTACTTTATGAGCATCAATGGAACTCTACTTCGTTTGATGGAAAGTCTACTTTATGAGCAAGCTATTAAGTATTAAACTACCATTCCATCCATCAAATCAGGAGAGGAGCGTCGACAGATGTACTAGAATTTCTAGGGATTTCCATATCGAAGAGGTCAACTTTGCCTCAACGAACGAAGCGAAGTTCAGTCATAAAGATAAGGAAAGAAAAACTAGCTCTGATCTATCACGTATCAGGAAAGACTGGAAAATCACAGAAATCTTTCTAAAGAAAAGAATAAGAAGCAATTTCCGGAAATGAAAATTGAAATATCTTTTGCCCAGCGAGATCATCCTCCAATTCTCTCGAGACATATCGGGCTCATCGAGTAACTAAATCCCAACACAACAAATGTTGGAATTTGGAAAATATTTAGCTTGGAGTATTCGAGCCACTAATGAGCCTGGATAAAAATCTCTATTAGGGTCCGGTTAGAGCACTGCTTCAACAAGCTCTTCTCTTTGCTATACGCAATTCTCTTCTTTTTTTCTCAGGTGGATATAATCTGCAAACAATGTGGAGAATAGGAGGAGTCTATAGAGCATCTATTCTTTTCCTGCAGGAAAGCCAGAAGGGTATGGAAGCTAGCTAAAGTTCAGTGGGATGGAGTTCTTACGGTGAGACATCATTTAGGCTTTGGTGGTGGCAGGTACTATCTCCTGACTCTTCTTGTATTTCTGAGGACCGCATACAACTGACCACATATATATTGTGGTGGTTGTGGAGGTCTAGAAACCTATGACTATTTGAGAACACTTGGATGCCTGAAGAGGTGCTTCTGAAGAATGCTTGGCAAGAATGGCAAGAGTTTGAAAGGACTGGTAGCTCGAGGATCTAGTTGTTGTGTTTTTCTTTGTGTTGTTGATTTTTCTGTTTTTTAGTTATGGAGAGTGCAGGTTTAGTGGTGTCAGTTTGTGTTGTTTTTTTTTTTGTTTAATGTGTTGCTAGATTGGCTGTTCAACGACCTTGAGTCTCAGGGGATTGTTCCTGCTTAAGGTTCGTGGTTGGGTTTGGCTATAGACCACTCTTTAAGTGGATCTCTCAGTATTTGTGTGCGATTTTTTATTTCGGATGTTTGTTACCTGTGTTGCAAGAACATTGTTCTTCGTTTTTTTTGATATGTAGAGCTTTCTATCGCTTGGAAAAAAAAAAAAAAATTGGTCTCAACTTTGTTAAATATCACACGAGAAGCAAAATACAAAATAAAAAATTATAAATAGATATGCATAAAAACATGATTTGAATAATAGTTTCAGTGGAGGAGTGTTTCTCAGCTCAGGAAGCCAAAGCCATATTGCGCATCACTGGCCTTGATCCTACCAAAAGGACAGATTGACTTGGACAGTGATAGAAAATGGCAGCTTCTCAGTGGCCTCTGCCTACTCAAAAATGATTCTGGACAAATTTCTTCTCATGGACTCACCTGAATCCAGTCAAGACCAAAGCTTACTTAAGAATAATAGAATGAGAAGTTGAAGGCTGAAAGTTAAACCCAAAGTGAACATGTCCTGTGGAGAGGCATGAAAAACATACCTGTCAACAACAACCTCAGTAAGAAAGGACTGCACATAGATCAAACCTGTAAGATGTGTGAAAAGGATCAAGAGACTCAAGAACATCTTTTCTTCCACTACAAGAGAGCTCAGTTAATCTGGAAAATCTCTCCTGTCTCTTGGGATGGAACTCAGACATATACAGACAACTTTAAGCATTGGTGGCCAAAAGTATGCTCAGTCAATACTTCTCCAACTGCAGAAGCCAGGCTTCAACTATCTTCTTACATCTTATGGTGGATGTGGAAGACTAGGAACTTGTGGATTTTTTTCTAAGATTTGGAGATCTGAGCAGGATACCATCAACTTGGCCATGAAGGAGTGGACTGAATTTTCTAATGTACATAATTTGGTTGTTTAATTTGCTTGGTTGTGCTGTTAGTTGCTTTTCTTAGTGATTTGAAGATTATTTAGGCCGGTTGTGGAAGTGGTTAATCTTTTTTGCGTGCCTGTTGGACTGTTAGTTCTTCTGGGCTTAGGGTTAATGTGAACTCCCCTGATGCTTAGTTCTTGATAGCTGGGGAAGGTGCAATTAACCTTTTTGTGGGTTCTCTTACCTTAGGGTGGTTGATTGTATTAGGGAAAGTTTGCCCTCATTGTACATTTTTATTAAGCAATATATCCTATCCTTTCGAAAAAAAATAAATAATAGTCTGTCAAACAACTTAATTAGTGCATCACTATTAATATGACTTTCATACACGTTAATATGCTCATATATATAGAAGTGCGCCCAAATGAGAAAGGAGCACAATGAAAGAAATGAGAATGAATCTGGGCCATTGAATACATCATATCAATGATATGATCAAGTCAAACTTTAATGAATAATGGTCAATCATTAATGGAAATATCGATGTATATGATCAAGTCAAACTTTAATGAATAATGGTCAATTATTAATGGCAATATGGTAAATAAATATATACATGGTGGTCAAATGTACATATTTGACCACATAGTAAGGGTAATACGGATATTACACAAAATTACAACTCATCCCCCACTCATAATGGGCCCCACCCAATACTACCCACGTGATATCTCTCACCAACCCCACCAATCCCACCTGTACCAACCTTTCCCATCTCTCACGCACAAACACACACTTAAAATTCACACACACACACACACACACACACACACCACCACCACCACCACCACCACCACCACTCACAGCCGGACACAGCTATACACCGTCAGTTTCCACAGCCGCCATCATCGCATCTCCCATCCGCTTCGGCCGGGGTTACCTTGACATCGCCATGGTCAGCCGGCCCACTTCCACTAGCCCAATCGCATCCACATATCGCCCCCGCCCCAACCCAGTTGGTCTCGTCGCCGCCGAAGCGACAGTAAGTCGCCCGTCGTGCGCCACGCCTGTACTCACGGTGACAATCTCCATGTCGTGTGGAGTTGTAGATGAAGACGATGAAGAAGAACGTCGCCGAGATGGTGGGTGAAGGTGCACGTGGACAGAGGATGGATGGCNATTTTAAAATTTTTATTTTTTAGTATTTTAATATGTGTGGTATTCTTGTAATTTATTAAAAGTCTCATAAGTACACTTTATAATACAAATAAATGCACATTAAATTTACATAGAAACTTCATTAAATTATAGATTTTGCAATGCTTATCGTTCGGTTAATTAGTTTGTTTGTTTTGGTCATTTTAAATAATAATGTCGACATAGAGTCGAAATATTGAAAATTTTAAAAGTAAAAATAGATAATTAAATTTAAATATGGATTTGTTTGATCGATTTAAAAATTTACCTTAACTACTCAAAATAATTTATTATTTATATTATAAAGATATATTGAGTATTTTAAAATCTATATTTAATACTTTATATCATTTTTCGATTGAAATCGATAATGTGCATTCCTACGGACACTAGTGTGTAATTCATATAACATTATTGTACAATCTATTGAGCGGGTTTTCCTTTTTACGTGCATTTCAATTTTAGAAAACTTTAATAATGTGTATTCCAATCAATATTTTGCATCTGTCAAATTACTCGTACAATAAAAATATATTTAGTATTTTTTATATTTATTTAAAATTATATATTTTCGTTAGTTGAACATAAATAATATACATAGAAAATAAAATAATAATAATATTTTGTGTTTGATTTACACAAGAGAGAGAGAGAGAGAGAGACGTAATAGCTGGCAAGTGGCAGGATATGTAGTGGGTGGGGCCCACTGATGTTTTTGATTTACGAAATGTCCAAAATACCCTTAATGAGTGTTAAAATGTGGCTTTTTTTTGCCGTTGGATAATCCCATCAGATAACTACAATTTATTCTTATTTCTTTCACTAAGCATCATTCTCACAGGAGCGCGACCCTATATATATATAGGGTCACGCTCCAGTGAGAATGGTGCTCGGTGAAAGAAATAAGAATACATCATAGCCGTCTGATCGAATGATTCAATGACTTAAAAAAAAAGACAAAATTATACCTTCATTAAGGGTATTGCAATAATTTTACCACACAAATAGTGGACCCACTCCACATTAATAATTAATAATGTGCCAACTACCAGCCATCATAGTCTATATAGCGGGACCCACCTTTTCTCACCTACCCACCTCACCTTCTCTATCTCACACGTACAGACACACACAACACACATAACACACTTCCCGCTGATTACACAGTCGCCGGCGCCCGCCGTGCACCGCCGTCGTCGCCCTCCAGACCAGCATTAGACATCTTGTCCTCAGAAGTCCCCATTCTCGCCGGGAAATCCCGACCCTCGTCGGCTAACCTCTTTGCCACACCCATTCTAGCCGGGGAACGTCGTCTTATTCGACGCCGCTGATGTGGCCGTAAACGCCATTGACGAACGGAGGCGAGTGAGCTAATTTTTTGCAGAATTTTTAAGAAATCCCGCCATTGAATCATTAATTTCGAATTTTAAAATTGTTTTGAATTCATTTTGTGGTAAATTGATTAATTATGGAAACAAAATTGATTATGATTTTTAATATAAAATAATATGTAGTATTCCATTATAAAATTCCACGGCAACATTCTAAATATTGGAACGATTTAGTAGAAAAATTATAGTCTATGGAAAATCTCTTCTAAAATTATTAGATGGAAATTAACTGGACCTATTAAAATCACGTCGGATCAAAATCATATACAAATTAGTTCTGTCGCCATCTCTCCCAAAATCTGATCCAAACAAATCAAAGCCACACTAATCGTCCCAAAATTAAATTCAAACCATTTCTCCAATTAGGGCTCGACATGAAGAGATGGGCACGGTGGAGCTCCATCGGGTCTTCTCCATGCTAGATGAACGACGATGGCAACATAAGCGGGGAGGAGCTCTCATGATCTGTGTGCCAGAGGATAAACTACAAAAGTTGATCTGGAAGATAGACGCTGAGGAGTTCGGCGCCTTGTTCGCGGCGTCATTGGAAAACGGCAGAGGCGACAAGGGGGACGGCGGATGAGCTGAGGTCAGTGATGGCAGCGCTGGGGTTGAAGTAGGTGAAGACACCGGAGGAGTACCAGAGTATGGTCGTCAGGGTCGACTTAGGTAGAGACGTGAGGGTCAACTTCGCACTTCCGACAGATGATGTAGTGCTACCGCTTCCTCAAGGTAAATTTATTGTTTTTTTTTAATAAATTTTATTGTTTTGCTGTGTAAGTTTAGTTTTCATTCACTTGGACATAAAACAAAAAACTTTGCTTATTTTATGTATCAAAATGTAGTGAAAAAGAAACAACCGAAGCAGTGGGCTGCTTGGACCCATCAAGAGGAAGAAAACTTTTGCCCTACGGCAAGTTGGCAAGGTAAACTATCTTCTACTTTTTTACAGATCAATTCTTAGAAAAATCATGTTTTATCTATTTTGGATGAATTCTGACAATGGAAAGCTTTTTCTTTTCCTGTAGAATTTTGAGAAAATCATTAGCCGTGTCCAGAGCAAAAACAATTCATGTGATTTTTCATGAAATAGATTTTTCACCGGTTAAAAGGATCAGGTGATTTTTCATGAATCGGGTAACAGTTGATTTGAATTAGAGCACTGGCTGAAAAGAAATGAAGATGAAAGGCCAGGGCCCGGGGGCTCTTTCGATAGCCTGAGGGAGAAGAGAGGTGTTTACTATACGGATTCTGATAGATGGGGGGAGGAAAAGAGACGAGTCAGAGTGTTGGCGGTGGCCAGCCGAAGTTGAACTTACATCCGATTACATTACCGGTGGGTAAGGTCCAGAAAGAAGAGGTGGCCGGCATGGTTAAGCCGAATAGTAGCAATCCTTTTGATCGCGAGAGGAGGTGTTGAAGGTGAATGTAATGCCCCGTTTATTTGTGGATTATTTGGGAATTATTATTATTATTATTATTATTATTATTATTATTATTATGGATGATTATTATTATTGTGGTTTTATTAATATTATTGTTATTATTATTGAATGCCTAAATATTATTATTTGCCTAATTGTCATTAATTGCCTAAATGTATATTTTGATTATTAATATTATTATTTTAAAATAACATATGTATTAAATAAATATTATATCCGATTTTATTTTCTTTAATTATCGATTGAAGAACCGAGTTCGAGAGCCGGGTTATTTTGACGAAACCCGCATGGATCGGCCCGGTCGAACTGAACTCGCGCCCCGCTAACCGAACTGGCCGCCCGCCCGAACAGGTTTTTCCCCTTGCCCAAGACCCGGTTTCCCCTTGTGTGTGTGTGTGTGTGTCTTGAGGGTTAAGATAGAGAACCCTAGGCATATAAGATCGCGCTTCTCCTTCATTCTCGACTGATTAAACACGCCGCAACCTCAATCTCTTTCTTTTCCCGATCGCTCCCTCAGCATCTCTCTCACTTGCTCTCGTCAAATTTTTCTCGCCGTCAACGTCCCTTCCTCTCTTTTCTTTTATTTTTTCGATCACCATCATCCTCTTTGCATAACCCTCGCCTACAACTCCTCCTCACCGTCCAGTCACGCCGCGACCACCCTCTTCCACTCGCAACGCCGCCGCGACCAGTCCTCCCTTCCCGACGAGCACCTACGCAACCTGCAACTGCTTCTCCGTGCACCACAATGAACCAGCAGGAGCTCCGACGAGTCGCTCTTGTCCATCACAGCAACTTAGAAGGTCCCAATGGCCCTCTCTCCTCCACGACCTCAGCAACTCTGGCGAATCCCTTCTCACGCGCAGCGACTCCGGCAAGTTCTCCTCTCTCTGCGTGCAGCCCACGAGCAATTTTCAGTGAACCCCATCCGCCGCGACCCTCTGCCACGACCAGCAGGCCCTCGACGACCCCCTTTCGATGCATAGACGTGCACCGGCAGCTACTGCTCTTCCTCCGCGAGCCGCGCGTAGGCCGTCGAGCGCCACCATGTGTTTCTCCGTCACTCCCGTTTGCCTCCTTCGACCCGTTTTTCGAACGTATCCCCGAGAACGGTACCGAGGCTTAACTTTAACCCTTTTCGATCTTTTATGATGTGTATTTTATTTGTACATGTATTTTTTTTTTCGAAACGATAGAGATATCATGTAACGCGCACAAATGTGCAAAGGCCAACGACCCAGACCAAAAACACAGCAAAAACAACATACAAAACTACGAAATGACCAACTAAACAAAAACTACTTAACGACACAATTAAACTAAACGAGCCCTTCCAAAGCAGCAACACCTAACCGAACCAGCGGAATCAAGTCGACCATGAATCCCACAGCTAGAGGCACCGACCCTGAAACTGCCAAAACCACTCGGTTGCCTAACGGTGTCGAAACCCCAACCCCGGAACCGCACGAAGTCAACCCGCACCACGGCCACAACACTAAATAGCCCCGAATGGAAGATATAGTGCCACGGCCCCAGCCCCAGACCCCGAAACGCCTGGACGCTGCCCAAAATCACCATGCCGCCGCAGCACCACCCCGGCCAACACCACTGGCAGAGGGATTGACGCAACGGCCCCCATCGATCCAAAATCAGAGTACAGCGGGGGATGGAATTGAGGAGCATCGCCGCCCCGTCGCCCAGCAGAAAGGTCGCCGAGCAATCGAGCCGTGTCCTGCCCCAAGATTTTCACCACGGCACCACCACCGCACGCCAGAGAAGCCACCATTGTTGATATTGGATGTATATGTTTGAGCCGTGTATAATTCAATTATGTGTTGATCTCTTCAGTTCGTGCGAACTCGAATGAGATCACGTTGAAACGTGTCAAGTTGCTGTAGATTAAGGAACTTAGGATCATCATGGAAAAAATGGTTTTGACCTTGTGTCAAATTGACTTGTATGTTGGGAGTTATGAATTTTCGAAGTCTTTATTGCTGCCGAAATTTATTAAATTCGTGATATATTGTGTATTGCGTCAATTAATGTGAATTTTTGTGTGAGGGTCCTCTGTTAAGTATGCATTTCATGTAAAAATTTCAGATTAAAATACTAACTGTAGCTATTTTAATTAATTAATGTGATTTCTGGGCAGAATCGTGTTAATTGCATAGAAAATTGAGATGTGCCCCAAATCTATTGATATTTAAGTATGTTGTCTCTATGGCATATTGGCGTGTTGTGTAAAGTTTTCAGCATTTTTGGACTTCGGTTGCTATGGTTAGAAATTGTTTGAAGTATTCTGCAGAACCTTGTTTTAATTTTGATAAATTGACCTGATGTGGTAAATTGATGAAATTTGGTGTCTGGACTTATTTTGTGATGTGTTGGCTGTTGTAAAAAGATTTGTATTTATTTGGATTCATTTTGGTTCAGCTTTGTTAAAAATTCAAACTGCAGAATATATTTTAAATTTTTTTAATTCTTGTGTTAAATGTTAATAGCTGAAATTTTTATATGTTGTTATTAACATGCTGTAGCTGCTCGTTTATAAATTTCATAGGTTAATTCTTTATGTACGTCTGGTTGTAAATTTATGCCCGTTTTTGCTGAAATCTTGTTCGAATTTTATAAAATTGAGTTTATTGAGTAAAAGGCTGAAACTTGGTGAAGGGAGGTGAATTTTGTGTTAAAATGTCAGAGCCTAACTCGTTGGTTTGCTGGAAAGGATCCTACAAACCGTTATACCCGGGGGTGAGAAGGTTTCCAGTTACTTCCATGCCGTTTTATCTGGAAGGTTTTTGTATGTACGTAGGAGGTTTGCGATAGGACAGGGTAGGGAGTTAGACCTTGGATTCTATGCATATTGTATACTGTGTTATTATTTTAAAATCTTTAAACGAGATAACTGTGCGATAACGGTGAGCTTGTTGGTGATGCTCACCCCCATTATTTTTCTGTTGTTTTCTCTTCCTTTCTTTAGGTTGAGCTGAGCTGGTGGCAGTGGCGTAAAGACGAGCTAGATGATGGTCGTTGGTCAATTATGGTATCGTTATTTTATGCTTCCGCCTGTTTATGATCTGATGAACTGATACTTGACTTTGTTTTATTTTCCTGCATTGATTTGGATAATTAAGTTATGTCAGATTTGAACCTTTGAGATTATGATTTTACTTAATGGTTTTTCTGGAACTTAATAAATGTTGGCTTATTGTTTATAACTGTTAGTTATGCATGTATAGATATTACCTTATAGTTTTATGCTTGGCTTTATGTGATTGTTTATTTGTTTAATTTATTCTTGATAGATAAGTAGCGCCCGTTGAGTTTTAAATTTTAATTTGGGATTTTGCAAAAAATTAACTATGATTTCTATAAATAAATTCGGCAAATTCTTTAAAATAAACGGGGCGTGACAGTTTGGTATCAGAGCTAGTCTGCGTTTCTCTAGACTATCTCTAGTGTTAATGTGTTTATGACCATTTGACCACTCACTTTCGTCTCGCCGCGCCAGCTCAAGGTATGTATTCATGAGTGATAAGACATTGCTTGTGATATAATTTACACTCCGTTTATACGGACTTGAACTCTAGTGGTATAAAGTTAAGTTCCAACTTTAGAGGTTCTTGTTGTGAGTTTTATTGTTGATTTATTCTATTTGGGGCTTAGGAAATCTATCCACCTTTGGGTATTGAAACTCTAGTGTTTCTCGGCGAACTCTTGACTTTCCTTATTATTTATTGTGCTAAATTTATTTGGCCTATTCAATGTAGAACTATGGCCAATTGCAATACCCACAATGCTCGCAATCGGCAGCCATCCCCGTATCCTTCCTCGCCTCCATCTCCACATCACCACCAAGCCCCTCCGTCCATGGACTTTACTAGGCTCTTAGTCCAGTACCAGAACATGAATGCACCCACCTTCTCGGGGACTGAGAACCTCACCGCGGTGCTTGAATGGATTAAGGAGCTCGACAAGATTTTCGCTGTGCTCCCTCTTCAGGATAGACAACGTGTATCTCTCGCCGCTTTCCACATGAAGGTAGATGCTTCCGACTGGTGGATTGACCACTAGGCTCGGAGACCAGAGGCTGAGCTTAACGCTCTCACCTGGGATCAGATGAAGGCGATGGTCCGAGGCAAGTTCCTCCCGCAGAGTTTTTGTGACCGAATGGAGCACGACTTCTATCATCTGCAGCAGGGCAACTCCGGCGTGGACAAGTACATTCGCACTTTCACCAGGATGAGCCTCTTTGCCCATGACACTGTGAACACTAATGAGAAGAAGGCTTGTAAATTTCTGAAGGGGCTAAACCAGAGGATCCGTGAGCTGGTTGAGAGTCACGGACTGATGTCTTATGCCGACACTGTGAGTCGGGCTCAAGAATTGGAGAGTTGTCTCATCCCGATAGCTTCAGTTCCATCATATTACCATGCTGCTGAGCCTGTCCAGGCTGTACCACCTGTCGTTCCTCCTCAATCTTATCAGTTGCTGCTCATTTATCAGACGCCTTATCAGTACCCTTTCCCCTATGCTATCGTTTTCCCATCCTCTAGTTCCAACAAGAGGAAGAATGATCCCCAGAACCGCAATAAGGGCAAGCGTCCTAACCATGGTGCGCACCAGCCTCAGTAGCAGCAGCCTGCGGCGCAGTTTGCTCAGCCCCTCCGCCAAATTCCTGCTGGAGGCCCACTGTGTAGAGCATGCGGGATAGTCCATGAAGCCAATATGTGTTGGGCTACCGACGTGACTTGCTACAACTGCCAGAGAAAGGGTCATTTCTCCCGTGCCTGCCCAGAACCTCGGAGGCCAGATTAGCATCAGCAACAGCAACAGCAGCACAGACAACCCCCACCTTAACAGTAGAGGACAGGAGGCCAGACCCGTGTCTACACTATCACCCACGACGAGGCAGCCAACAACGCAG